CTTAGTGCCTGCTCACGCTGCATCTGGGCAGTCATTCGTACTGCTCCTGGGAAGGTGGCAGTGGCAGCTCCTGTGAGCCAGGTGCTTCCCATGTGTGTCCCAAGGCCCCCATGGCCCTACCCATTCCTCTCCCAAGAGCACATCCACCACGTGCTGCTGCATTGCCTGCACCCATCGCGGCCCCTGAGGCATAACTGGTCGATAGGTCTGGTGTCTGAGGTCAACAGGGAGCAGTACCCTTTCCCCAGCAGCAAATGGGAGTCAATGAGTTACCAAGAGCAGATCTTCAGATCTGCATCACAACAAGAGTCACGTAACTGGGTGAAAAAAATGGTACATGCACACAACTAAACACGCACATGCAGGCACACACAGTGTCATCTGCCCTCCATCCTGAATGCACAGCAACACCGGGTGCTAAAGTTTGCAATGAATTATTTATACGATGAATTAGCCCTCTTTCTCTGCTCCTAGAATATCCAATTTCAGATTTCCATTTTGGTTCCAGAAAGCTTTATTATTCAGATTTATTCACAGGATAGCTTATTAAATGTTTCCTCCCCTTTTTCCCTCCGTAATGCATAACATGCATCTTGTTTTCTGGTAGCACCTCTCCACTCTAGCAGGGGCTCCCAGGGTGGTGAAACAGTGAAGAGCGCAATTGTTATCCAGACAGTTTGCAGTCTTTTTTATGAACCAATTACAGATGTTCCAAATTTTGGATATTTATTTGCTCACTTAAGTCAAAACAGTTTCAGTCCCTGAGTAGATGATCCACGGCTACAAATAAGATTGTGACTACATGTGAATGAGTGATTTGGCTCTCATCGCTGTTTCGAAATTCATTTCTGTGCCCATGTCTGCTGGTAAAACTCCCTTCCTTGGAAGCCTCTGAGAGAGCGGAAAGCTGAAGATGAGTGCCCAAAGTCAAGTCGCTCAGAAGTTCCCTGATCTTCCCCTGCAGTTTCTCAGTTTTGCTGCCTTGGCGCAAGGAACTGCGTTTTGCAATCTTTACGTCTTGCCTGGGGTGTTGTAAGCTACCGTGCTGGAGACCTGCTCCTGGCTGCAGATTGTGCAAATGGAAACCATCCCTGCATTTAGGGAGCTGTACTAAGCTCTGATTTCCTAGGTGCTTTGGTAGTGCCTGGGACAAAGAAGTGAACTTAACAGGAATCACCTACCCGGTAGAATTTCCCTTATTTTGGGATTTCACTGCTTGATTTCCCTTTAAATACAGCTGGATGCCTTAGTACCTCTCAGACATGCATGTAGCTTTCAGCATTTATTTCCCAGCTCTGCCTTCCAGACCTAGGCTCAGTGTTTTCATTCTCTGTGAATTCTGAGAAGGGCAAATCTTGTTCTCAGAGTGCTCGAGCTGTTTGGCTGAGTGTAGTTCTGTGCTGGGCTTTAAATCACGACAGCGATCTACGCTTCTGATAGAGATGGAGCTGCAAGCCTCCAAAAAACAGTTATCTGTTCGCAGAAGAGTCAGTGTCTGTGTAAATCATATTCAGGGGATGTCATCTCGCTCTCGCTGAAATCACAAACAGCAATACCCTCTAAGAACAATAGCACTAAAGCTGTCCTCAGGTTAAAAATAATCTGTTTGCCTGTGTGCAAAGCGCACGGTCCCGAGAGCTCCTTTGCCGGGCAGCAATATTTTACCTCTAATGACCTCAAACCAGAGCCAGCCATTTTCGCAGGCTCCCCAGAATAATGTTGTGCCACGCAGGGCACCCAAAGGTAACTGCCTCCCTTCACCCGAGCACTGAGCTTCCCTGCAGGCTCCTGCATGCTTCAAAGACTTGGAGGAAGCTGCCGAGAGTGCCCTTGGTCTTCTTCACTGATTTAGGTGTTCTTTTAATCTTCTCTGATTTAGGTGCAGAGCTTTTTTGTTTGCTTTTCTTACTGAGGTGTCACGAGTGGAGGCAAACATTCCTCTAAAAGGAAGGAGCCGGGACGCTGGGCGCCAGCACCAGGTATTTTGGGGTTCTCCTGTACTACGCATAAATTCATCCTAAACGTCTCTTTCCTCCTTTCCCCACACTCCCACCCTCGAACCTATTCGAGAATGATAAATAGAGTGGTAAAATACGTAGAAATGGGGATGTGAAGAGAGAACGATGACTGATCGGGGGTTCCCCTGGGGCTCCTTGCCTCCATCCCATGTTTCTTTCGGGAAACCTGTATTTCTGAGCAGTCTCCTGGGCACTTTTCGCTGGCTTGCAGCGAGAGAAGCGGCTACTCGGGGAGCTGGCGGAGCGGGAGGTAAGTGGCAGTAACTAATGGCAATTAGCAGCAGCCTGGACAGCTACGTGTCCCTGAGGACGCGAGCTCTTTTGGGGCTTGTGCCTTCGCAGAGCCAGGCTGAATGTTGCCCTACAGGCGAGGACAATTTGCGTCCCTTCCCCAAGGCTTTGCTGTCAGATTTGCTCAGCAGTCTTGCTGAGAAAAAGGGAGTTCGCATTTTATTTTTGCCCCCTCCCTCCCTCCCCCAAGTTGTCGGAGGTAGGATGTGGCGGCAGGGAGGGGACGGTTACCTTCAGGGCCAGTGCCCAGCAGCTGCTCTGCCTGAGAACTTGCTCAGCGCTTACGTAGCGGCGCTTTTTGGGAGCGATGTACCAAAAAAAGAAACAAAAAGCGAGGAGACCTCCTTGCTGCTAAATGACAAGCGCCACTTTCCGCCCGCTCCTCGCAGCTCGCAGGTAAGACCGAGAAACCCCCCCTGGGCTCCCCAAACCCTAAATCTACCTCCGACCGCACCGCCACCGCGGCGAGATGCGGTGACCCCGGCATCCCTGCGGACCCCCCCGGCCCCTTGATGGGGGCTCGGGGAGCCGTGGGGGGAGCTCGGCGCGGAGCCCTGAGGGCCGGGGCTCCCCGGGGCCCGCCCCTCCGCCCCCCGCGGGGCCGAGAGGAGCGGAGCGGGGCGGGACGGGACGGGACGGGGCGGCCGCGGGGCTCCCCCGCCGCCCGCCCCGGCGGCAGCAGCGAGACGCGACGGGCGCCGCCGCTCCGCGCCCCTGCGCGCCCCCCAACTTTGCCCCCACGCCTTCCCCCCCCTCCACCTTCTTTTCCACCCCCCTTTCTTTCTATTTTTTGATTATTTTTAATTTTTTTTCCTTTTTTTTTTTTTTTTTTTTTTTTTTTCTCGCCGGAGGGGTGGGGAGGGGAAGGGGCTATAAGGAGCCGAGGGACGGGCGTGACACAGTCCCCGCTGCAGCGGGTTGGGAAAACGCCTTCCCCCCCCCACCCCGAAAAAAAAAAAAAAAAAAGAAAAAGAAGAAAATATTAAAAATTAAACAAACATAAAAAAAAACAGCCGGGCCCCGCCGCCCCCCGTGGGAGCGCCAGGACGGGACGGGACGCCGCAAGGTAAGGCACCGGCTCCGGCTGGGAGGCGGCGAGGAGCCCCCCGACCCCTCGCCGCAGCCCCTGCGGGATTTGGGGTCCCCCCCCTTCAGCCTCGTCCTTGCCCGCTGCAGCCCCCTCGTCCTCCGGAGCCGGGTACCGCGGGTGTCGGTAGCGTCTCGCTTCGTGTCGGCAGGGTTAAAGGAGGGGGAAAGAGAAAAAAAAAAAGAAAAAAAAAGAAAAACAGGCAAAAAAAAAAAAAGTGGCTACCGAAAAAAAGTAGACGGGCAAGTCGCGGTGGGATGCAAGCGCAGGGGTTTGCTGCGCGCGGGGTGTGTTGCGTTTTTATTTCGGCAGCGCAGAGACAATGGCTGCGGAGCGCTGTTTAATCACTTGCAGATCCAACTTTGGTGCCTTGCAGCCTCGGAAGGCCAGCGCGGCGCTCCCAGGGGCCGGCACTCCTGGGGTGCTGCATCCCCGCACCCCGCCAGCGTGAGCCTCCCGCAGGCCTTCACCTCCCCAGCATGAGATGCTCGCAGGGTGTCCCTGCTGGGAGGCAGGGTCCCCAGGGTGGGTGATGCTGGGTGACCAACGTGGCAGCGTGTCGCCGTCGGGGCATCCTGCAGCTGCCGTCCGGCAGCAGCCTGCGGTGGGCGTCCGGCCTCGGTAGCGCGTTTGGTAGAGCTGGTGGAGTTGGTGGCACGTAAAGCTGGAAGAGGCGAGCGGGGTTGGAGGGTGAATTCCTCCCTGGGCGGCTGTAGAGAGTGATTTATGTGCGAGTGACGCTTGGGAGGCACGGCTGTCTCGGGCATAACCTGGTTTCCGTAAAAAAAAAACAGAGTGCTTGGGCATTACATGTTGTCAGCAGGCTTTGCTGCACCGTAAGGGAGCGGGGAGAAAAACTTGGTGGTTCTGCCTCGCCTGCTTGGGAAGTGGCTGGCTCCTAACTATTTGAGGAATGGGGTTTTGGAGTGTTGCTTGTCAGGGTGCCTCATCCTCCCTGCCCTGCTCTCCAGCCTCGTAGCAAAGTGCATACCTGCGAGAGGAGAGCTGCCGAGGCTGGCTTTCTAGTGCCGCTGAGGGTCTCTGGAGCACGCGGAGCGATGTGTAGAATTCAAAACTTGTTAGCGTTTGAAGGAGGAGAGGGCTTTTTTCAACACAGAGATTTCATGTTCTATTTCCAGCATCAGAAACGAGCCGTGGTGCACCACATGTCCCATGTGCACCGCGGGGGCGTATTTGGGGTCCTGTGGCCGCGCTTCCTTCCGTTTAGAGAGCGATACCCGCTCCTTGCGGGCTGATGTTCCCAGCCAGCAGATAACGAGCCCCTCGTAATTGGAGAAAGCTTTGTAATGCCCCCGATATAATCCTCCCTTCCCCAGCCTGCTCCTTTTCCCACCTCGAGGGTCCCCATGCGCCCGGTGTCACCAGCCCCGCCACCTCGTGCCGCGGCCCCGTGTGAATTTGGGCCTGGGTGGCCGCGAGGTGCTGGGGGCTTCGAGCACCGTGTGGGATGCTGAGCAATTACTCGCCTGAGTGACCCTGCTGAAATTAATAGGGGCCTCTTGGTTTTTTTTTTTTTTTTTTTATAATTTGAACCGCCTTCATGCTGGGATGCGTGGGCTCGCCCTGCACGTCTGTTTTGTTGTGGATGACTCCTTCGGAAACACCGAGGAAAAGCATTTTGGTTTCCCCAATGTTTATAAATACAATATGGTGCAAACTGTCAAGCAAGCTGTTCAAAATCACGTAACGCCTGCGCCGCGTTCCCTGCTAAGCTCAGATGCCTTCGCCACGTACTCGCTGATCCTCCGACGTTTACAGCTCCCGGCCTACGGCTCCAGTTTTTGGTAGGGAACAAGGCCCTGGGGGTGGAGGACGGGGTCCTGGCATTGTGCTTGGGGACCGGGGGCTTCCCCGGGTGCGAGGCTCAGTTGGGTTTTGGTGCCGCTTGCCCCGTGGCCCCGTTGGTGCCGGAGCTGCTTTGCTGGGCGCTTCGGTCTCAGTGTGCCAGGGTCTCCTGCCTTGGTATGTACAACGAGATGAGATGTTTATTAAACTCAGCCCCTGCTTTGTCTTCTACAATTTACGTTCCGAAAGGCTCGTAATAAACAGTTTATTAAAAAGAAATCCTGATTTATTTCTGCAAGCGGTTACGCTTCAAGATGGTATCAAACGGTTTCGCAGGAGACCACCTTTTATGCTTCCCCTGGCAGTTTAAAAGATTGCTAGAAAAATAATCCAGAATCTAAGTGGGCTTGGACGAAGGCAAGCCAGGAGCGTCTGTCAGGGTATGTGGGGCTTTCTTGCAGCGAAGCGACAGATTTTACCGCAGAACATCTGGGCACTGGCTTCAGTTACAGCGCAGATTTCAGGGGGATAACAAGTCGTGTTTGGCTTCGCCTTCGTTTTGAAGTCACTAAACTTTATGTGAATAATAAAACTGTAAGCCCATTACTTCACTATTTTCAAGGGGCTATTTCAGGCCTCCTTCAGCATCTCGCCTCTTTCTAGAGCTGGTTTTATTTCGTCTTGCTAAGTGGGTATTTATCTTTTCATTCCCTGGCTTTTTGGTTTTAAGTTTTCTGTTCTCAAAGGTGGATTTGCTCGTTTATACCTGCGGACACCCTCTGGGTGCCGGGTTTCCCTGCAGCCTTGCAGAACGAGCACGTTTTCTGTGTTAAGGGCAGCGTAGTGAGATGTGCACGCTCCTCGCTCACCACCCTCGAAGCAGCCGACGCTGCTGGCATGGAGCACCGAGTTGCTGCTTCAGGCTGCCATCCCGGCTGCTAATAAGGAGTTAACACAATCCTGGGGCTTGGCTCTCTTTTTGCCTGCCCGATTACAAAACGCAGAGGAGAGGAGTGCAGGATGCTGGGGTGAAGGGCCTCGCACCTCAGGAGGGGAGGGAGGGGGCTTGTGAGTGCTGGTAGAAGGGAGCGCCTGCTGCTGGGAGTGCCCGGTGTGCCTTTGGGGATGATAACATCGAGGGGCTTTGCATCAGGATGTATGTGCTCGGGGTGAGGTTCGCATGTGTGCAGAGAGCCCCTGACATCTGCGTTGCTCACAGCCAGGGTGGTGCCACGGTGAGTGCTACGGGGCTGCATGTTTCGCTGTCACGGAGGGTACAGCCCATCGGGATGATGGAGGGGCTGTGGGTGCTGCCCAAGCAGGAGTGAGCGGAGAAGGGACATGAATTATATTAGAGGAAAGGGAAAGCCTTGGGTAAGATGAGTGAGAGAGGACTCGAGTAGTGCTTTAGCTCTATTAAACAAAAGTGAGCATCCTCCTGGAGAAATCACAACAAGCTTGTGGAAGCTTCTGTTCCCCAAACTTTGTTTTGCATTGTGACTGAGAGTGTGCGACTTCCAGAACAAAACTCCTTGTTAGACCAAGCAGCAATCGTTTCTGCCTGAGAAAACTGCTCCAATAAGCTAACGCTGACAGGAGGAGCTGTGAAGGCTGAGGAGATGTTATGCTTGAAAACTTTAACTAGATGTCATTAGGAGAGGAAGTATTTGCCCTTAGATTGGGAAACGGGTCAGGGTGATAAATCATAACTCCAGGAGAACGTGCCTAAAGGAGGAAATAAATTAAGAGGGATGCGGAGAGCCAATATTAAAAAGAAGTTTGTTCTTTCAGAATTCATTCTCCAATTCACAGCACACGAGGACAGCTGCTGTGCTGGGGGAAGATGAATGTTAGCACCGAGCTGTAACAGGAACCAGTGGAAAATCTGTTTACATGGATGGCTTCGTGGAGCACACAGGTCATGTAGGACATGCCAGTCCACGTGCGAGATAGCTGATACTGTAACTTCAGCCAAAAAGGTGTTAATTTCCTCAGGGATGTTTTATAAGACAGGTTTGGGGTTTGTGCTCAGCTCTTAAATGCTGCTCAAGCAAGTGGTGGGCCTGGTGGTGTGAGAGCCTCCTCCCCAGCCTGTTTGTGTTTTGCTGAACAAAAAGGTGCATGCACTGCCCTGCCAGAGGGATGCACACACACGCTGGCTGCTCCAGAGCACACGGGGCTGTTTGGTTTTGGTGAGCATGAGCCCGCCCCAGGATGCGGTACCGCAGGACCGGGCTGCTTTTAGGACAATTAAACAGGGCAGTTGGAGAGATGTTTGCTGATTGCGTGACAGCCAAGATAAGAAGCAGTGGTCCTTGCTGAGAGCACCTGGAAAGCGAAAGGCAATAATTTCTCTTTCCCACTTCATCCCCCTCTCTGCGGGTCCGGATATGAGTGCCCCTCCGTGTGACCCTCGCGCGCTCACGAGGTGACACGCTGCCGGGAGCGGCGCTTCCGCTGCGGTTTGCAGGGGGAAAGGGGAAAAGCATTGTTCTCTTAATTAAGCACATTGCCTTTTTTTTTTATTATTATTATTTTTTTTTTAAAGGGTTGGAGCTTTATTGGGGTGAGAATGATGCTTTTTTCATCTTTCTCACTTTTAACCTTGCCCATACTGCAGGCGGATCGCAGGTTCAGGGATTGCTCAGAGGGGAGAGGGTTTTTACAAAGCAGCCAGGGTAGCAGCAAAAGACAAGCTCACCTTCTCCTGCTGCCTCATTAAATTGTACCAGGTTTACTGCTGATTTGTTCATATTGAAACAGTCTAAATGTGTCTGAGCATATGGAGGGCCTGATGCAAGTTGTGCTGCTTAGACAGGGCTGGTGGTCATGCAGGAAAGCCAAGCGTCCCAGAGCTGCCAGCTGCTCTCTGGATGCAAGGGAAAACATCCTCAAGCAGTGTCAGCGACATTCTTGCTGTTCCTCTGGCTACCAAAGCTGCATGTAACTCTCCGTGGGTTTTTCCTCATGAGATGAGTTACTTACTTGAGTGTGATTTGTAGGAACTAATAGGATCTCCTCCTTATTTGGGGAAGACCCTAGGGGCGCTCTCCGACTGTTTTTTCAGTAATGAGGAATAATGAATAAAATCCTAACAGTCCTAGGAGGTATTAAAGTTGCAATTTTGCAGGGAAGATTTACTGTCAGTCAATTAAAACTTTTATAATCCTGTTAGAGCACAATAGTTGAAATAATACGTCCTATGAAAAATAAGCTGCTTTTAGGACCCTTTCACACCATGTGAACAAAGCAAAGCTTGGATTTAAAGTCTTTTAATACTTGAATTGACCAAGTATCTTAAGGCAGCGAGTAAGACACCCCTTGCCAGCGTGTGACAGCAGGGATGCAGGCTCAAGGCAGGAGGCGTGCTACGTTAAGTTATGGTGCTCACTCCAATCCCCACTCATTTAAGACAACGCGGTTGCAGAGCTGTAAGAAAACCCCAACAATCAGTGCTTTAACTAGGAAATGCCGAACACATAGATCCCGGTGATATGTGCTTCCAGGAGGCTGAAGCATCCCGCAGCTGCTTGCGGTTTCCCTGGGCAGAGCCACATGGGACCCTGCGGTATATGAAGGTGAAGTGTTGGAACCTGAAACCGCAGCTGGGTGCTGCTCAGCTTCTCGCAGGGGCAAAGCCAGCACAGCAGCACAGGCAGAGGTACTACGTCTCAATGGGTATCCAGCACCCACCCGAGCTATTTTTTTCTTTCCCTGAAAACTGAGCCAAAAATGCCCACCCACGCCACTCCAAAAAAAAAGAAAGCCCAGACCTCCTTGGCTTGTTGAAGTGCCTTGCGTGGATAAAACACCAAAGGGCGGGTGGTTTCTTGAGTGAATGGCTTTTTGCTTATGCAGTGCAGCGTTCAACGTGATGTCGAAATGATGCTTTGTCCTCAAGCTGTACCTTCTCTCCATGCCAGCAAAGCAGCACCCCCAGAAGGCAGCCTGGCTCCCATGCCACAGCTCTCACCGTGCCTTTTGCTTTTGGAAAGGGAAGGTCCCCTGACATGCGTTCCAGCCATCTCCTAATGCAGAAATCACTTCTTCCTTTTTCTTTCATTCCCTTTTCCTTTCCTTCCCTCTTGCTTCCCTTCTCTCCCACCAGGCGAGGAGGACTGGTGGCTGTAAGAAGGCTGTGGGGCTGTTTGGATGTTCGCTCACCCGTGGCAGCCCGACCTACCTGCCCACATGTGTTCCCTGCGCATTGGCTCGTGGTGCCGAGATGAAGGACTGACCTTTCGCCTGCCCGGCTGGACAAACAAACGCTGGTCCAGCCGTGGTGTGGGGCTGGAGCCTGCCCTGTCAGTAAGCCATTTCTCAAATCCCCTATCACAGCTCCGCAGCTGGCCCTGGTGGGGTTTGAAGCTGCCCTGGTACTTTGATTTGAGAGTGCATTGCTGGACACTTTTCAGCTTGATCGTGCAGAAGGACGTGGCTAGAGCTGCGTAGCAGAAACTGCTGCACAACCACCCAGAGCCCAGCAGCTCCCAAATACACTCTGAACCTGCTTTGTTTGTAACTTCTCTCCCTTTGCAAGTGTTGCTGGGTGAGAGCAGGAGGGCTGGGAGGGTCTGCCAGCCCCGTGGTGTTGGTGGGCCAGGGTGCGGGCATCCCTGGGGAGCCAGAGCCCAGCCCAGCGCTGGAGAGGGGCTGCTCGCACCCTCTGCACTGACACATGGGCAATCCCAGCTCTCTCTTCCCCCACCCTGCTACTCTCCAAAAAAATGAAGGGAACCAAAGCTAAGCAGTCTTACTAGGAAAGAGGAGGAAGATGCACACGTAGGCAGGTCTGTATGACTAACGCTTTCTCTAGGGCATGGTTCCTTAGCCTTGGAGATGCCAAATGACACTGGCTGCACCCAGCGCTGCCATGCTGCACCGTATGGGTCCCTGCTTCCTCCTGAGCCTTGGCTGCATTTTATGCTTTCATGTGTCCCAGTGACTAGCGAGGGGATTGGGAAATCAGGGCTGGAGCCTCTGTGCTTGGGTCTGGACA